AAACCGCTCACTCACACAACGCCATACACGCTGTCTGCCATCTGCCCTGTACAGTGAAAACCGGGATTCATCTGTGAAGAGAACACCTCTCCAAAGTGCCAGATGCCATCGAATGTGAGCATTTGCCCACTCAAGTCGGTTACGACGACGAACTGCAGTCAGGTCGAGATCCCAACGAGGACGATGAGCATGCAGATGAGCTTCCCTGAGACGGACAAATGGCTGCAATATAACAAAGAGTGAAAAATTTAAGGGGGTCTGAATACTTTCCGTACCCACTGTATATATATATGTACTGCATATAAAATTATAATTATTTTTTTCCCTTTCTTCCTTGGCAATATGCAAAGGAATCATGCCAATAAAGTACTGAGATTTTATTAGAATTAGGCTCCATTACTGCTGTGCATTTAATAGAAATGTATTTTAAGTTTATTGTATGTATATATATATATATATGTATATATATATATATATAGGGCTGAACGATTTTGGAAAGTAATCTAATTGCGATTTCTTTTTTACCAATATTGCGATTGCGATTTAATATGCTATTTATTTTTTAAGCTCTTTATCTTCTGTATTATTCAACAAAGACAAGCAAAAATTACACATAAAAAAAATGTAATTAAAACAATTGCATGTTAATCATTTTAAATAAACTAATATAAAACAGGGCTTAGATTAAGCCAGGATTAGGCCTTAGTTTAATTAGGATATATAAGTAGCTTAAACGTGCCTTAGAAAAAAAACATTACTGGTGTGTATCTTGAGACAAAACAATGGCACTGATATATTTTAAGACATGTCAGTGCAAGTTGCTTTCAGTTAAGACAGCTCAAACATTTATTTTAGTCTGGAACTAGGCATACAAGCAATAAACAAACAGTGCTTTCAGTATTTAAGAGTATCTGAACATTTTCCTTTCAAGAGCTGTTTGTGATTTTTCTCTTTCTCAGCTTTACTGTTGTTGATTATTATGATGACATCATAGAGAGCAGCAGATCTAATAAGCGGCATTCACACTAATGCACAGATCTCTTTTGAAATATAAGATGTGGTTTGTCGATCTGTTTGATCCTTTAAGACATAACTGACTGTGTTTACATTAAAAGCATTTTGAAATGCAAGTATATTTAACCACTTAAAATTAAGTCACGCACAGTCGCATGACCGAGCACTTTTCACAACGCACGCGCCAGCATTTGAAATTGACATAACGACATAACTGAGGAGGTGTTCGTAGAGCATTTGTAAGGAAAATACCGGCGGGCGAGACGACTCACTGCAAGCGTCAGCAACGCACGAATGTGAATGTCCTTGTAATTCGCTTCAAACCTTTCCGAACTTTATTAAAGGTTATTGTATGGATGGTTTGAGTGGTGTGTGTGAGAGAGAGAGAGAGAGAGAGAGAGAAAGAGAGCGCAACTGGAAGCAAGCAGGATGAGTTTCTAAAGCACATGCAGCGCCATCGCACATCTGTGATTAAAAACTAAGCTCAGAATCGATCCAGAATCTTTTCTTCCATCTCTATTGTATAGTATGACCAACACAATATTAGATAGATTAAACAAAGTGTGCTTTTCTGTAGGCCAGGCATATGCGTAGTGTGCCAAGTTGATGCTTCCTCTGCAGACTGCTTTACTCTCGCGAGTCACGTGATGAGAATGTAATCGGAGCCTTGCGGTTTAAAAAAATCGCGTTTTGTCATATCGCGATATTATCGCAATTGCGATTAATCGTTCAGCCCTATATATATATATTTACTTGTTTTTCATTAATGTATTTTACTACAATACAAAAAGCAATGCATAAAATTTTACCAGATTTAGTCCTACACATTCACTTTTATTTGTTCCCCAATAATGTTATTTCGCTAAATGTTTACATTTTATAAAATTATTGTGCACTCATGATTTTTCTAGAATAACCTAACCTAGTTTATAACAGTATTATTTTCATAGATTATTATTATATATTTTTTTTTATTTGTTCCCCAATGTTATTTCTCTAATAAATGTTTACAATTTATAAAATTGTGCACTCATGATTTTTCTAGAATAACCTAACCTAGTTTATAACAGTATTATTTTCATAGATTATTATTATATATTTTTTTATTTGTTATTTTTCATTAAAATGAAGTTGTCTATATTTGGTAGATTGTGTTTAACACACAAAAGAAGTGACGATCAGGTCAACACACAGAAGTACATTAATTCTACATTGATTTAAAATAATGTGCTGGTATCGGATCGGTATCCGTTGACCGATACTGAAAAAAAATGGTATCGTTGCATCCCTAATTTATTATTTATATTTACTTAGGATATATTTTTTTACATCCTGATTCCAATGTCTAAATATTCTTTATTTTATATAACATTTTTTGTTCTTTGAAAGAGTGTACTTGCATTATTATGCTATATTGTCATACTGTCATTAATCAGTGGCATAAAATGGTCTTAAAATGGCAATAATATTATTTATCGCAATTAATTTTGGTGCAATATATCGCACAACAAAAAGTAGTTATCGTGACAGCCCTAATTAGAACATTAAAATAAATTAATATTTTTGCTGTTTTTAAATATATAAAATAAAATAATTGTCCTTTCTTCCTTGGCAATATACCAAGCAATCATGCTAATAAAACACTTTGAAACCTTCAAGACAGTTATTTATTTATAATATTTGTATTTATGTATTTTACCATTTCTTATTTAAGCAATCACACCAACAAAGGGGGAAATATTTCATAAATGGACAGAGACAGATAAACAGAACAGGTGGAGGAAGACAGATGAGAAGCAGAAAAAGAGAGGCAACAGAAGATGTCTGTCCACTCAGCTAATGAGCTGTGCAGATCGATCGTTTAGACACACACACACGCACACTGATGAATACACGACTGGAAGAAACGCTCATTACTGCATCCACATCCAACACACTCACACAGAGAGAGTGTGTAAGCAAATGGAACAACATGGAAAGACAAGTGTGTAAGTGTGTGTGATGCTTTGTGTAAAACAAAGGATCACATTAAAGGCTGGAGTTTTAAAGCCGTCAGCAGTCTTCATCATGTTAATCAATCAAACTGAGAAATATGGTTGTCCAGAGTGAGTGAGTGAGTGTGTGTGTGTGTGTGTATTTATAATGCAATCATTTGGCTTTCTTTCTACTGACAAATCAGTAATCAATGAATCCAATCAAGAGAGTGCTTGTGATCCAAACCCAAGCAGACTGAATTTCATCAAGCACAAAGGTTTTGCATTCTTGTGCTTTTTCCACTTACATTTACTAGTTAATCAGAGTAAAGATGAAAAAGAAAAGGCTTTCGCTCGGTCAATCTGGATAAACGCATTTAGACGTTTAAAGAAACCACATTAAACATTGTTTTTGGAGGAAGAAGTAAAACGCCTGAAACATACATCAGCATTCAGTTTCAAGTCTCATATTCTCACCTAGGCTGCATTTACTGAATCAAAAAACAGGAAAATGGTAATAATGTGAAATATTCGTACAATTTAAAAAAACATGTTTTCTATTTGAATATATTTTAAATTGTAATTTATTTCTGTGATCAAAGCGGAATTGTCAGCATCATTACTCCAGCCTTCAGTGTCACATGATCCTTCAGAAATCATTCTAATATGCTGATTTGCTGCTCAAGAAACATATCCTAATATCATTACTATTAGGGCTGTGCGATATTGAAGAAAAATGCGATAT